TCCATATCTATATCGTATCTTGCCCAGTAGTCGGTCAATCAGATTCACGCAAGCGGAAGATCATAACACGGTTGGCTCTGGGAAGCACGGTCTCAGTCGGCTTCGACCTTGTGTTTTTTCTGTGAATAAGCTCACGATAGCTCAGGACTTACTGACCGCAATCTCGATGGTTCGAAATCAACCTTGGCGTCTCGATTGCTCTTGGATGGGCTGGGCAACCTGACAGTATATCATTTCTCTTGCGTATTTCGTGTGGCATAGCAGCTAGGCACCGAAGGGATGATACAGTTGGAAAATTATTATCTAGTGCTATATTTCTGTGAACATCAATCCCCCGTCATCAGCGTACTCCGTGGTCGGAGTTGATATCGGCGGTTGTTTGGCAGATTGTTACTGCTGAGTCACATAAGGATAATGATGGCCTTCGAGAATTTCTACCTCGCATTCGTGCTATATCAGCCACCCACTGAAGGGTGGCTACTCGTTTAGAACCTCTGTTGTGATTACCGTATTCCCTAACGTAAGGTGCCAGACGGCTCACGGTATTCACCCATCATTGTATTCGTAACATCTCGCGCGTCTGGTGGCAGCAGTGGGCGATCAATGCCCAAAGGTGATCGTAAGTTTTTCGCGGATGTAATGATGGCGAACTGCAAGACATCAAACGCTATCGTCGATTCCGATGGTCAAGACATGTACTGGGGATGGCAACTCACTGGCTTCCATAGTGCGATGTCCTTTCAGAACCGATTGAATAATGAAGACGTCTGTGGTCAAAGAATTTTTAGGCTTCAAACTTCTTCACAGTCCGGTTGTTCATCGGGTTTTGGTGCTATAAGCAAAACTAAGGGTTTGCGAACCCACTATTGACGTTGCATTCAATACAACGCTTGTGTCTTAACGTTGCGACCACAGTATGTACCTTATGTTCGGGAGAACGCGAATATCGGTCGTGGTACGAATAAGTAGTTAGGGTACAACTATGGAGAAGTGAATACACTAATGTGGGACTACTGGCAAGCAAATAGCGTACCACAAACATAATTAATTTTGCGGTTGGGATGTACGTTAAGTTGCAAAGTTGGTCAGGGAATACAGAAAGTAGGTGTACGATGATGCCAACTGCATCCACTTGGAGGTCAGTTGCCCGAAGACTAAATCCACGAAATCCTTTCTATATAGGAGCTTTCAACGTCCGTACTCTGTCAAATTGGCAAATAGGCAATGCTTGCTGAAACCTTGTATTCCCTTAAAATCGATGTATGCTGTGTCTCCGAAACACGCATACAAGACCCGAGCCTGGTTCTGCATCTCAGAACGCCAAGGATGAACTCCGCTCTTTCACACTTCTCCCTCCGTGTGTCCGGTGCCCCAGAAGCGATGACTCGTGGAATATATGGCGTGGGAGTTGCACTCAGCCCCAGAGCTGAACACCCTTTGCTGGATTGGATCCCAGTGAACAGTGCTCTCTGCGCCGTCCGACTATCCAGTTCAATCAAGCTCAATGCCTCCCCGGCATAAAAGTGGTGCCTGTTTGTCGCGTCGTCTTATGCCCCAACGGACTACAGTTCTGATTCGGAGAAGGATACTTTCTATCGAGAACCATCCGGGCTCATTCGTCAGGCAAAAAGCACCGACATTGTGATCCTCGCAGGCGATTTCAACGCTCAAGTAGGTCGTCTGAGCTCCTTGGAATCGCATTTGGGTGGTCGTTTCGGAGTCGATGCTCGCCGCACAGACAACGGAGATCGACTCCTTCAGTTGTGTGCTGATCACGAACTGTTTCTGGCAAGTACGAACTTTCAACATAAACGTTCGCACCGCGTAACCTGGCGGCCGCCAACTACAAATCAACCGTGGACCCAGTTGGACCACGTGGCCATCAGTCACCGGTGGAGAGCCACAATTCAAGACTGCCGTTCCTTCTGGGGCACACCACTTGATTCAGATCACGCCATGGTGCGCGCACGCCTGACAGTTCGTTTCCATTCAGGCCCTCGCAAGTCGGCAAGAAACGTACCAATCCACT